ATAATCGGGAAATGAGGAAATTTTCAAATGAAATGATTTCAAAATGAAATGAATCCCATGATCTCAAAAGTCAAAATGAACATTGATCCATGTGACTGCTGCCGCGTCTTAGCAGCCTGGCCTTCTCAACAGATAAGGTTCAATCATTAGGTTCAATGGGGCCGGGGGGTGTTATATATATGTCTGGCGTCGGTTGTATCAAGCCCGTTAGCTTAAATGGTGAAGCCTATCATTTTATTCAACAAGCAAACTAAACATACAAAGATACTGTTTACAACTACATATTCAGTGCATAATCTTCAAGTTGACTCATTCAAGAGGGATGTAAGAGTGTTATTTAATTTTGACTTATCCACCGTTTAAGCTAAACGGGCTTGATAGTTGATACAACCGGCCCCTGGAGTTTACCTTCTCTAAAGCTATACAGTTGACCTTAAATAACGATCCGTAGCTCAGTCGTTTTGGATCAATCGTCTCTATTTTGCGGTATTTTCAACTGAAGAAAAAGACAAATTTGCGAGGGGAAACCGAAGGCAGTGGGGTTCGAGGGCGATTTTTTGGCATGCAAAGCAGGCTTTTTAATCAAGCCAGTCATGAGGCATGACTGTTTAGACTCAGTTTAGTATTTCCAGATTAAAATTAAAATCAAATCGTAATCATTTGTTTTTTATCCGGGGTCTTTTTGGTTAAAAAGGTCTATACATATACTGGAAACTTTTATCTTTATTTATATAACTCAGTTTTATGAACCTGTAATCAAATATTTATTTCTGGAAACGGGAGTTTATATGTTTTGGCTGAAGCCGGTTTTTCTTAGTTTTTATGTCCTATCACTGAAATATTTTTTAATGTATTTAAAAAACATGTTCAAAAAAGTCGATATACTACGTCGATTGACCAAATTATAGTACAACTGACATTCTTTGAATAACTTGGTTCCTAATAATATTCTTGTATGTTTGCATGGTGACATGAATAAGTACATGAATAAGTACATGTAACTTAGCTTGTAGGTACACCACGTAAGCTTTGCAGTTTTATAAATACTTACGTCGTGGTGTACCTACAAGCAAAGTTGATGAGTACGTGGACAGGGGCGCCGTGGGTGTGCTAATGTAGGGGTGGCCAAAGGCAACATTATTCCGACCAGCACGTTTTTTCCGACATATTTATAAGAAAAAAGTAACGAATATTGATAAAACTGACAGGGGGCTTTGGGCCAGAACGCGCATGCATTTGCTATGACAAAGATCACGAGCTACGTCTACTAATTTAAATTGACGCTTCATGCACAATGAATATGACCGATAAATATTCACGTTTTACATACGCTTTTCAATTGAGTAGTTGAATATTTTTTGATACAGTTAACTGTTTGTGGGAAAACTGTATTACAGAGATTCCTAATCCACATGCATTAACAAATAACGCGATAAGTTATTTCACGATACTCTATTATAGCTTTGTAATCTTAGTGGATGAGCATACAGCGTATTCTATACGCAACATTTGTTTATAACCAAAATATAAACATATTTGCAATTGCTTCAATCCTCTCATCAGTTTACTTCTTCCGCTGTACTATCGTGGTACCTTATCTTTGTATAAACTTCAGGAACCGTAAACGTTTGACTAAAAGTACTAACTTGAAAAGGATTTGCTGTAGCTCCAGCATTCTGATACGGAACATGCTGGTGTTTCTTTAGACGGTCACCATATAATGCAATAAACTGTATAAACTCACTGAACAATAAATGCGGTCGAAGATACATCGTCATTCATGATTTTATCGCGCCAACCTCCGACATTTCGAAAATTACATTCCTTGCGTAATGTTATATTAATAGAAACTATGCATGTTTATCGGAAACCGGAATTCAAAACGTTCGGAAGAAACAGCTAGTTTAGCCTGCGCGACAACAGTATAATAAAAACCTGGGGTAGTGTCGTACCGTATAATATTAGAAATAACCGCGTCTATTTTCTGATAGTTCAAACACTTTTGGGTTGTTCAGCATAACACAGCTACAAATGCAAAAATAGCTTAGTCTCTGTTATGATTGATATACTCCGACGACGTGCAATGTTCGTAAATTTCCGACAGGTCTGAATCCTGGGGGGGCCATGGCCCCCCCTGGCCCCCCCGGCCACGGCGCCCCTGTACGTGGATGAGTAATTGATTATTGCCACAAAATGCATGAGTAAACTATAATTTGACAGTTTGGGTGAATAATTAATGCAGTAATAGGGCAAAAGTTGCTTTGGCTTTGATGCATTTTTACATGTATTGAACTGGAATTATTGGAATATGTAAGAATATGCAGCAAATATTTAGAGTTTGCTTATTAATATGGCAGGGATAAAGTTTATTTTGAAACCGGGCTTAGTACCAAGGAATGACCACACCCCTAAAGATCCTAATCTGTTGAAAAGGCCAGGTTGCCAAGCCGCGGCACCAGCAGTCGCATGTCGCATGGTTCACTTTGTTATATAAAACGTAAAAGTTGAATACGAAGAAATGATGAATTGCTCTACACGATGATGAATTTTTTGCAATAAAGCATTTTAAGGAATTTAGAATTTAATGTTTCATGGAGTTGCTGTTGGCGTTGCTGTGGGACCAAAGTCAATAGACTACGTCAAGATTAACAAAATATCGCTATTTAATAGTCCAAAGTATATAAAAGAAGGCAACTTACACAGTAAGTTATTAACTTTATACGTAACAACATTTCAAGTAATATTTAAGAGTATACGCATGAAAGACTTAAAAATCTGTGTCGATTGTCATGTCTGCAGACTGCAGTCCACCACGTGTTAAATATGTAAGAAGCGATACAGCTGTTGCTACGCATCGGTTCTACTCAAACACAGGGGAAACCCATCTGTTCAATAGTTGCCTTATTTTATGAAGAAAAAGAAAAATGATAATAGCATAGGTTATCCCATGAAGCATGAACAGTTAATATTAGCAGTACTGCAGTAGTCATGTTTTCATTTATGAATTTGCTAATGGCAAGAACAAGGTCTTGTTGACCTTTTCTAAGCTATTGAAAGAGCTAAAGGTTGAAAGTATGTTTGCTTTTGTCATGAGTGTACTGTAGATGCAATTGTGGCTAAAATAGATTAAAAGGGACATTAAAGTGAAGTAGTTTTGAAACAGAATATAGAAATTATAATATTTATAATACTTACCGGTTTGATAATCTGTGTGTCAATTCAAAATTGGCCTCTGCAACTTTCCCAGGCAGAGAGGATCACTGAGCCAGGCCCTAATTCAGATTTAACAAATGCCTTAGACTGCTTCATTGTGTAGTTTGGTTAAAACAAATTATTGCCTTTTTGCTGCGTATGTATTTTGAATTACACTTTTGTAACGCAATCAAAATTTGATAGAGAGTTTCAGAACTTGACAGAATATTTTTGCATCTTGATAGTACTTTACTTGGATTGAATTCTCTTTTTTTAAACAAACTGTAATTTGAATCACCAAAGCATGAAATGGGAATTGTTGATGATTAACTATCTCATCAAGCAACTGCATGGGTGTTCATACATGAAGTCAAGTGCCAATATGAACTATACCCAAAGCTTTCTAAGGAAACATTGTTAAGGTTGCATTGTGTTTATGATGTTTGCAGCTCAGGGGCCGGTTGTATCAAGCCCGTTTAGCTTAAACAGTGGATAAGCTCAAAATAGAAAGCAAATAAGTCTATTGTTTTATTCAACAAGAAAACTAAATGTTTTTAACCATAACACAAAGATACTGTTTACAACTACATATTTAGTGCATAATATTAAAGTTGACTCATTCAAGAGAGATGTAAGAGTGTTATTTAATTTTGACTTACCCACCGGGTAGAAATCCTATATAAGATCCTATAAGATCTTATAGGATCTTATAGGATCCTCTAGGATTCTTTTAAGATCCTATATTTTTCAGGATCTTAACAAATTCCTGTCCAAGATCCTAAAAGATCTGAAATGACTTAAGATATTGACTGATCCTAAACAGAAAATCCTAATTTATTCAGGATTCTAAATAAGATCTTAAAATTCTTACAGGAGCATAATCTGATCATAAATAATAAAATATGTACTGGGAACTGGGAAAATGTAGTTTCCCCAATCCTGTCCTGCTTTTAAAATATCACACAATAAAAACTAAAGATTTCTCTGAGATCTTATAATTCTTATGGGATTTCTTTCTTCAATATTTATATATTGTACAGGATTTTTTGGATATATATATTCTTATGAAATTCTTACAGGATCTATTTAATAACATCTTACCATATTCTTACAGGATTTTTTAAAGATCTTATTATATTCTTACAAGTTTCTTCAAGATCTTATGAAATTCTTACAGGATTTTTTTAAGATCTTACCATAATCTTACAAAAATCTTATTGTATTCTTACGGGAATTTTTTAAGATCTTATTATATTCTTACAGGATTCTTCAAGATCTTATGAAATTCTTACAGGATTTTTTTAAGATCTTACCATATTCTTACAGGATTTTTTAAAAATCTTATTGTATTCTTACGGGAATTTTTTAAGATCTTATTATATTCTTACAGGATTCTTCAAGATCTTATGAAATTCTTACAGGATCTTTTTAAGATCTTACCATATTCTTACAAGATTTTTTAAAAATCTTATTGTATTCTTACAGGATTTTTTTAAAATCTTATTATATTCCTACAGGATTCTTCAAGATCTTTTGGAATTCTTACAGGATCTCCTTACGATCTTACCAAATTCTTATACATATTCTTATCATATACAGCCCAAGTACCCAACATACATGCAACTACACATGCACGAAAGATAATGTATATCTACTATATCATGATATCACAGTTTAATGATATAATATGTATTATGTATAATGTATGTTATGTAGCAGAGTTATGTAGCAGTGGTATGGTATGTAGTCCTCTGCGTCTGCGATAACTAAAAAATTTCAAGGGAAGCACAGTTCCGTGTATGGAAGCACTGCGTCAAATTCAAATTTCAAACGCGCCATTTTACAACTGTAAACTGTTATTTCACTTCGTCTGTCTTCCTTCGCTTGGCGTTTTATATACTTTCGACACAATTTTAGTGTTTTAAAAAATGGCCAATTGTGCGATTTCTTTGTTGAAAGAAATATGAAGGCAAGTTCCCGAGGCAGCGTCTCTTATCGAAGGTAAATTCCGACTTAATGAATATTTGTGTGTTGACTGTTGCGGCGTTGCGCGAATTCTTCGATTTCTTTCTTACTAACTATGTATGTATCTTACTAACCTAAATATGTATCCATTGCCAGTAAGACAGCATTGACTGGCTATAATTTGAATGCTGCTGTTATAACATGAGCTTGTTATATATTATATTGATTCTGAATATGAAATTTGTTCAAAATTAAGGTCTAGCTAGCTAGATTCTAGAAGTTGATTCATAAATCTCTTCTAATTTTAGGGCCAATTCTTCAAAGTTATATGGTACTCCTTAGGCACTGGTGTATGGACTACTATGAAAAATGTGTTCACAACAGCATATTATCAGATGGATCTGGATTATCCACCTGAACATGAGATAAGTCTCACATTTCTGCATTACATGGTGTTTGTTGATATAGCTGTGCTAAGCCTTTTATTGTTTATATTTTAGGGCCATCTCAATGTTGTTAAGCCATTTGCAAGGGGAAAACATTTTGCAAACTGACGACTCTGAATCCATAAGGTAACAATAATTTCATTTGACAAAATAACCATCATTTCATTTCAGAGTATAACTATCCATAATTGGTGTTCAATTGTGCATTATGACAAATTGGTGTATTCAACAATCATGTGATTATTCTTTTTCTAAACTCTATACATTTTAGGTTTTCAAAGGGACAAATTTACTGGTGGACATTACCGCAAAATAATTTTTCTGGGTAAGCACAGGAGGTTTTCATGAGTAGCCAAATCACTTTGAAGACAAGCGCTTAATTTCTGCATTTTGTCCTAATTGAAGCCTAGATTGCTTCCACGCACTGTAGTCTAATCCTGTTTCCTCTTTTTATTATGTCAAATAGAGTCAGTGATGGTGAAGAATGGGGACAAGGCAACTCAATGGATGGCCTGAAATTCGGCAAAGTCTCAATCAGAAGTGCCTGGACAAAGTAAGACAGAACAAAAAAATATCAATGTCTACAGAACTAAAAGACTAAAAAGATGAACATTAATTTGAACTTTATCTGGGGTAATATTTGTCTTATATTTTGATTGAGTAATTTTTTATGTAATGCAAAAATAAACATTATTTAATACAATTTACCATGTTTGTGTTGTGTTATTTATGTAATCAATTTAGAGATTATGTTTAAGATCAAGCTTCGATTCTGCATTCCTAGGATCCTAAAAAGATCTTTAGGAACTTATAAGATCCTGCCTAGGATCCTAAAAGAATATTTAGGAATTTATAAGATCCTGCCTAGGATCCTAAAAGAATATTTAGGAATTTATAAGATCCTGCCCAGGATCCTAATTAAGATACTTGTAGGATCCTATAGGAATCTTTAAAATCCTACTTAAGATCCTATTTAAGATCCTTTAAGATCTTATAGGATCTTATAGGATCCTATAGGATCTTAATGTAAGATCCTATAAGATCTTATAGGATCCTATAGGATTGTATTGTAAGATCTTATGCAAGATCTTATGCAAGATCTTAATAAGATCTTATATAAGATCCTAACTAGGATTTCTACCAGGCCGTTTAAGCTAAATGGGCTTGATGTTACAACGGGCCCCTGGAGGCCGGTCGTCTCAATATGTCTCTTTAAAATTCTGGAATTCATTCTGTGTTGCTTAATACAATTACAACCCTGTAAATTAATTTGAGTGATTTTTTGAATCTGGAGAAATTATTAGAATCTCACAATAAAAATGTTGGAATTTCTTTTTTTAGGTAAAACAGATCTTAAAGTGACCACAAAATGTTGGGATATTTATGATGATGAATCTGATGCCATGGTTAAGTAATTTATTTTTTTTGTTTTTGTTTAATTGTATCACCTATTTCACAGTACTTAGCCTTAGGCATAAATGTCTAGCTAATTAATTTGTTGTGGCTTTAAAGATTTTCGGCTAGTTATATAAAACTGTAACTACATTTTGTGCAGTCACATCATAGTTACCTCCAAAATTTCCAATTCTGACTAAGCAATTCTGTCAATGCATGTGTAATTGTTGGAAGAATTACTTAACCACATTCATATACCCCTAGTCCATGAATACTATACCACTAGTCTGTGAATTCTATTCCAAATATATTTACACTGTAGCAGACTGCACACATATATTGAGGCTATAGCTCCAGTGTAATTGTTTTTAATTTTCAGTATCACTAAACTAAAAGTAATTACACTTGGTTCATGTGAACTGTTGTGTTGCCAGACAATATGATTGGAACCATTGGTTCCAACCATTTTGAAATAGGTGGAATATGCTTGTGGAAATTTACCTGAGAGTGGATGTTTGTTGTTCGGAATGTTAATCTGCATGTTACATGTTACTCCAGCACAAAAAAGGGACATAGCAGCTTTACTGTGTTGTGATCAGTTGAATTGCTCCAGTTACACACTCAAGACAATAATACACTTACATTCATACAGACACACATTCATACATAAAACTTTATTTAGACATGCTAGCCTCAACAACATGGTTTTTTTTCATGAGGGGCATGTCAAAAGATACATAATGGTTACATAAAAATTACATAAAGCATACAGAAACTAACAGGCATATACAAAGACTAAAGCAAATACAAAAACGTATAAGCGGACAGGGTATATTTAAAAAACAATTATCATCAAGGAAGAAGATCCCTTATATTTGAAACTTATTTGATAGCTACCTTATATTTGAATTTTATTGTTAGTATTACATTACGATTGCCTTCATTACATTGTTCATTACATTACCACTGTCTTAAATTTGGAGCGGCATGATCATTAATTATTTTATACATCTAAAGATTCCCAGCCTAACATATTCAGTACGTCAAGAAATCGAATATCAAAAGTGGACCTCGTTATAACTCCCGCAGCACGATTTTGCAGTCTTGGAAGTTTATCTCTTAGACCACTTCCACAATTGTCCCAAAGAGGGCTGCGTAGTCAAAGTAAGCTTGTACCAGAGCATTATAATATTAGTTTAAGTGTTTCTATTGGCACAAAAAGCTTCTTCCTTTTCATAACTCCAATCCCAGCCCTAACTTTCACGGAATCTGGTCTATTTGTTTGCCCCAAGTGAGCCTTTCATCCATGTCAACTCCCAATCATGTGTAGTTTTCCGTTTTCGGGACTGGTACGTTATTAGATAATTAAGATTTGGTTATAAAAAATTTTGCTTTTAATATTAAATGACGATCCAATATACATATATTTTGTCTTTTTTGATAAATTTGAAGCTTATTTTGTAACATCTATTTACGAACATTTTCATGCAAGATCACAGTTTATATTGTTGACCAGCTCGTCGCAATCCTTAGCAGATGCATATAAATTATTATCTTCGTTACATATCCTTCACCTTAAACATGTATTTGCACAGAGAATTTTAACGAGTTATTTTAACTCCAAAAATGGAGTTAAAAAAACGGTGACAGAATAATCCGTATTTTAGAGTTACTTTAACTCTAACGAATATAGAGTTAAAATTACTCTTTGTTGCAACGAGTTACTTTAACTCTAAAAATGGAGTCAAAAAAACGGTGACAGAATAATCCGTATTTCAGAGTTACTTTAACTCTAACGAATATGGAGTTAAAATTACTCTTAGTTGCAACGAGTTATTTTAACCCTAAAAATGGAGTTAAAAAATAGGGACAGAATAATCCGTATTTCAGAGTTACTTTAATTCTAACGAATATAGAGTTATTTTAACTATTGGCGATGGAGTTAATAAAACAAATAAGAAGAGGGTAACTTTAACCCCAAAAAGAGTCATCATCCGTATTGCAGGGTTATTTAAACTCACACACAATAAACGAGTGAAAACAACTCCCAATCATTAAAATATCACCTTTATTTAAAAACACGTATATAAAACATATAAAAATATGCAGTTATTAACTTTAAATCTATAACATGAAAATATAACAGTATATAACTTATTTGATCCTTTTCAATCGCAAATAAAACATATTGTCTACACTCATGTAAACCTAGGGGGTAATTGAACATTCTTAGTTATGGTCAGCCAATTAATTGGACTGAATATAACTGGCCTTTTTCTGATTGGCTTATAATTATATAGGGGTAGCTACATAAATATAGTAAGCATAATTCACTAAAAGTTTCACACACGAGGATTAATAGACTATATGATGTATCTGCGAAGTCATGGACAACTGTAGGGCAAGTTATGAAATTATAAAAACATAGCAATGAACAATTAACTATATGCCTATACTGTACATGTATACATATATACATGCAATGAAAATGTACGGATTACATTGCACACATCTCGGACATACTCATTTCTGGCTTTGTCTATCAACTTTCCTTCTCTTAGTCCCTGTTGTACTCTTGGAGATAACTGCAATGCAAATAAATATTACTAACGTTATACTAAAATATATATATATATATATATATATATATATTACAAATATATATATATATATATATATATATATATATATATATTATATATATATATGTATATATATATATATATATATATATATATATATATATATATATATCATATATTTGATATATGATATATTTGATTTATTTTCTCATAGAATTGCTTTAATTACCGATGACTTTTCAGGCAGCTCTATGGATAATATATTCTTTTTTCCAGATTCAGGTGTTTTCACAAAAGCACTGGACACTGATGCATTGCTCTGTTGATTAAAACAACAATGATTTTCTAGTAATTAGTATTCTAAAAAGTGCAATTTCATGCAACCTAGTTCTATTTGCTCTTAAATAAATAAGTTTTCTCCATGGAAATGAATGGTCGTGTCTAAACCTGCCATGTATTAATCAGCAATATTATATCACATAATAATTCAAATGAATAAATAAATACTACATGACAGTCATGACAGTCAGTAAAATACTACATGACAGAACAGAGATCTTCATTTTGCTGCTTCAAAATTTGTGGATGAGATGCTTATAAGGAGTGGACTGGTGAAAGCAAACATCTTTTTTGCCTCCCACTTATCTCCCACGTATAAATTCTAAAGGCCCTGTTACACAGTTACACACAATTTTCCTTGTAACTCGCATTGCAATTCTACTTTAAAGAGCTGTAAATTAGTGAGGAGTCATTAAAATGTAAGTGTAAGAACTGCAATAGAGCGTAATAAAGACAAAAGTTTGGTAGTTGCCAAATCTACATCTCCCAAAAGAAGAATTGAAGTGCAAGTTGCAAGAAAAATTGCACCAGGGCCTTAAGGTGGCAAATCTGTTTCTAAGCTAACTATAACTGTATGTTTGAAAATAATGTACAAGTTTATAGATTTTTAGGCTTTTGCACTTCCTTTGTTTTTTAACTGGGTAAATGTAGGTGGTACGGTAGTTTAAGAGAACAAAAGATACATATATATATATATATATATATATATATAATATATATATATATTATATATTTATATAAAATATGAAATTGAAATGTGACATATATTAATATTAATAGGAAATTGATATGTGACATATATTAATATTGATTACTCACATGACTTGTTTTGGCAGATTCCTGCTTTTCTGCAGAAATGATTGCATTGGGGGTCTGTGTTCATTATAATTTGGCAGCAAAGAAAACATAAAAAAGGAAATGTAGAAAATGACTCAAAAATCAGATATGTTGACAACAAATGAGATGACTGCATCCTTTAGTAGTAGTTGCCTGAACATATTAAACACAATCATACCATAGGAATAGTTGATTAAGGCCATGGAGCAGTAGATTCTTTAGTGCTTGTATCCAAAGAACTAGGAAATGCTTTTCTAATTGCAATGATTTGTCCACATTTTAGGCCAATAGTTCTTAGTAACTCATTAGTGGATAACCTTAAAGACTGGGCATCGAAAATCTGTAGACACAATTACACAAATCACATTAAAGACCCTGTCAAATCCGATTTGGCCCAACATGCAGGGGCAAAAGATGGGCACAGTACACAAAAAAATCTACTATGTCAAAATTTCAGTTGTACTGAACAAGCATGTATACTGAGTGGGAAAATATACCAGTATTGATAGATGTATATGCACTATGAAAACATCATTCAAATATGTTTCCTCATTAATTATATTTTAACTGAATCTTTGTAAGATTCACAGTTAACAAATCTATTAAATTACACGATGGTATGCAAGCAGAAGTTAACAATGGGCCTGCGTACATGGGCATTTATAAATTTTCATAATCCTTTTTCCCAACCGGAGGGAATCGTGTATTTTAAAAGTGCAAATATTTTAGTATGAACTAATATCACTAAATAAATAGAAAATGCCAACCTCTTCATCAACAGTAGCCTGATTATCGTTTCATTGGCTTCCGATTCGGATAATTTCCGTTTCAAACCCTCCACATCCTGCTCCTGCAAAGTTTAAGCATGCTTTGAAGTAGAAAATAAGTAAAGACTTTGGACTTTGCTCGACTTTGGTGACGATGCTTCCACTCAAAGGGTAATTTTCCTACAAACTTCCCAGACACTGAAACTTCTTTACTTTTGTATTTTGACAAAAATGCAAACCCCTCTTGACGTTAGCCTTTTCGAAAACAAAGTCATATTTTACGTAAACTGACAAGATTCACACACAATTAAAAGTCATAAAGTTATCACTAAATTATTTAAATATCCTACAGTGGCTGTGTTCACGAATGTGTACGAAATATACACTAAGTTTTTAATATAAATGAAAAGCCTTAATTTTTTGTTTTCAAAGTAAAGTTAAAAGTAAATTCCCTAATCCTTACGGCCTGAAAATAATTAAAAAGACTTCAAAAATAGAAAAAACTGTGCAAAATTGTTGGAATATCTTGAAAAACCGTAAAGGAAATTAAAAAATTCAAGATAGTGTGAATTTACTAGGCTTAGTTTCGCCGCGGCTGTTTTATGGCTGTTCACGTTCACCATGCAGTTTATGCTTGCCAACCAAATTTTAAAAATGTACTCACCATCTATTGTCTCCTTAAGCAGTTGCTACTTGTAACTTTCAATAAAAAGACTTGCTAAGTTAGCGACAAGGTGTATTAAATTATTTTAACCAGTGCGACAAGTCCGACAACAGTCGACATGAACAAAAAAGTCTTGAAAAACAGAAAAAGAAACCCGAAGCACAGCCCGAAGTGTGCCTGACCAAAATGCATCATAGGAATGATTTTGACCATATTTGGAACCTGGATATGAAATACGCGGGAAAGGGAGATGAGAAGAGTTCAAGCTAGAGTCACTGCATAAACAATCCAGAAGACATCTTCTGGATTGTCTATGGTCACTGTCTTTTGTAAAATTTACTTTATGTACAGGTTTACATTTGAGTTAATTTAACTTTGAAGTTCGAATTGACTTAACTCTCAAGTTCGGAATGATTGTACTTTGAAGTCTTACTTGATTTAACTCTGAAGCTGGAATTGGTTTAACTCCAAATTTCGAGTTAATTTAACTCCAGAGTCTCGAATCTTTCAAATCTTCAGTTTTGAGTTCATTTAACTCTGAACAGACTGAAATTCGAGTTAATTCAACTCTGAAGTTCGAATTGATTTAACTGCGAAGTGCGATTTGATGTTTTCGCTGATTTAGCGAACTCTGAAATGCGAATTGATATAACTCTGAAATTTTAGGTGATTTTAACTCCGACGTTTTAGTTGTTTTAACGCTAAATTTTGAGTTATTTAACTCCGAAATTCGAGTTGATTTTACCATGAAACAGGAGTTGATTTAACTTCAAAGTTAGAGTGAATTTTACTCCGTAACTGTAGTTGATTTGACTCTCATGCAGTAAAAATAACTCCCTTGGGAAGTTAAAATAACTTCTTCTTTTTTTAACTCTCTAGATAGTGTTATTTCAACTCCGATTATTGGAAGGATAATTAAAATAACGCTCTTTTCAGAGTAAAAATAACTCTAGAAAAATAACTCTACACCAAGAAGTTATTTTAACCCTACAAAAAGAGTTGCTTTAACTCGGTAAAATTCTCTGTGTGATCCAAATGCATGATACAGATATTTATTCTGAGTTTTATACCTGAAGATCTGGCTTGACACCTAAGATACTTAACTGGGCATTGGGTTGCATTTATTTTATAATTGTGTAATCCGAATGGCCCAAGTATGTTCTTTTTCTTTATTTTTTTTGTTCAAAGAACTTTGTTACATGCATTAAACAACATTCTATAGTTTTAAGCCTTAATTACTTGTGGAAGAACGGTACCATCAGAAGTGAGAGGCTTGTTGCCATTGAACAAAAGCGATATTTGCCGATATTTAGGCATGCAACAAAATTGTTATATTAGAAGCTAACAGCTGGTTTATTGACGCTTGACAAAACAACTGAAATTGGATATAAGCGGTTTAATAATTTAGATATCATGCATGCAGTTTTGACAACGTGCCACTGCACAAATCAGACTATTAGACTTCAGAAATATGCAGTGCGATATATAAAGATGTCCAACCTTTTTTTTTTGGGCGGGTGTAACATTTTCTATAACTATGGAATTATGTGATCAATAGTATGCATCACAATTGTAGATACTTTCACACAGAATTTTAAAATCCACAATTTTGGGGATTGTTTCACTTTAGAATTATTTTGTGATAATTGCCCAATACCTTTTTACACCTAAGAGCCATGAGTAGCATTCTAAAGAATATGTTTTCTTCATTATTTTACGCTACAATGTCAAATTATTGTATTATTTTTGTCGTGAAGTGGTTGCGTCTTGAGTAACATTGTCCTAACATAAATATCCCAATTATAACTTATCCGTTTCGTTCAAAAAATTGCTGTCGCTTCCAGTTTTATCTTTGCCTGAATATTTATTAGGAATTAAAACTTCCTGTGCATAACATTCTTTCATTTTATATGTTTGTATACGTTGTTTTCTTTACCTCGTGTAATTTGTATTGTATTGTTCGTCCATCCTTATTTTCACGTCAATTAGCAAAGATACTTATTTGTCTTTCACCAAACTCCTGCTTCAGACTAGTCTCGTCCTCTCTTGTGCTGTACCAAGTGTTTTTCGACAAGAACTGAAGTTATGTCTGTTCTGAAGAAAATGTTTCCAATGCAACTTATATTCGAGGAAATTGCTCGATGCCTCATGATCCTGTAGTGCAACTTTTTATAATATTGTTGATGTATAAAAGCTATCATATATCTTGTTGCTGAGAAAAACAAAACGTGAAATTCGTATCGAGGATTATTATTGCAGTCCCTAAATCAAACACTGTTTTGTGTTAAAAAATAATCGGAAAGTGTTGAGTATCTACATGGAAGATAAGGATTGCGAAGAGTTTAATAAAGTCAAAAGGATTCTGCGAACATTGTGTTCTTTCACGAGAACACTATTTAAAACGCTTGTATGTTTGTTCCTAAAAATTAAAAGAAAAGCATTGGAAGCTTAAAACGAAGTGTCATTGCAAAGTGCTATGAAAAACCTTGATATAGCGACTCCACTATAATTGGACTGGTTATAGGACAGGAAGAGACCTGCGTTCTCCAAAATGGACGAATGCATGTTGAAAAAACAAACAATATTAATCCATCAAGAAACCTTATTCAATCTCAACAAGAGATGTGTCTGCACTGATAGAGATAATGTTACTTATCCATATACCCCCTAAATCAACGTGTACTCTACCTGCCTAAGTAATCTCTAGTCAATCAATCATCAGTTGGCGAGCATTATAGAAGAGAACAATTGAAAGTCTGGTTCTCAGAATGCTATCAATGGCTAGTGCTGATTTCAAGTCGTCATTCACAGATGCTCTAGGTTATTTGGGGACGCATTGTATACGAATCTGTTGTTGAAGACATTCAACCGGTGACTATTTAAGTCTAAAGTCTAAGAAAAACTACATCAGCCAATATCAAAATGCTTTTTAATCAACGTGGAATTCCTATCTTGTTATCACCACTATCAACAATTATACCATCCATCAATCGTCGATCAACAGTGAAAAACTTGTTGGAACCAACGTAATAAAGACGAATTTTAAAGAGTTTTTCAGTGTCACAATCACACTTTCCATTGTGTTCGTTTGTGTGTAATTCCTTGCAAACATTTATATGGTTCATATACAATATTTGCCTACCGAAAGCTACTTTTAGAGCATTACCTGGGTTTATAATTTTCGGACATGAGACAGCTCTAACAACCAAGTGTTCCTGTCAAGATGAAAGAAAAGCGTGGATTTGAAAGTATATCATGGATTTCATATGTGGGGATAAAACAGTATTCTTCCCCACGGACACTGGTTATAGTATATACTGTCGGAATGGCAATTGAAAAACGCTTTGGTCAAAGTTCTTCTCTGTCTCTTGGCGTTTGGCCTCATGTCACACTAGAGAACGTTTCCCTGTCTGAAATCTCTGAATGACAAATTGGGATGTTCTCCTAATTCCAAAACCTTGCGCTCCACTTTGCGCTCCATTATAAGGTTGGTGTGGCGTCTCCACATTTAGTGGTGATTCGTATCGAAAATGAGGTTCCAAGGTTGTTTTTTTATTCCTTCCTGTTTTGTACATCCTTCTGCTTACAAATTACCCTCAATTTTCTATTTCTCTAAAATAGAAATTAAATTTGAATCGATTATAGATTTAATTTTTAGCTATATATAGCCAACGGTTAGCTTGACCTGGGGTGAAAGAATCTACATTTGTGAAGTATATTCAATTGGTAAATAAACTTATACATGCATTTTGTTTTCGTGCATGGCAATTTTTTTTGTCTAGACTATTTCGCCTCGCCGCCGATGAATACATACGCTGATACCGAACGATGCACTCTCTCTAAATTAAGACCCTGTCTACACTAGTGCGTTTTCGTTTGAAAACGCATACATTTCTATGTGTTTAGGCCTTCCGTTCACACTAATACGTTCGAATACGCTCAGCGTATTCACCGAAAACGCATCGATTTGAATACGCTGTTGAAAGTGAATACAAATGAAAACGCATACATATCGTATTAGTGTGAACACTTGAAGGCGGTACTTTTGAAAACGATTACGTCACACGCATCGATTGCCACCAGTGTCAGTGATTGCCACTCATTTCCTGGTCTTAAGTCAGTTATCTGCGGCATAATTCCAACCAAACATGGCGGACGAGCACGATATGGAGTTTCTCATGCTTTTAGCAAACATAATTGTTTGTTTGCCGTTAAATATTGCGTTTCAAATGACGATACTTTCAAATGACTTTGACACTTTGTAATCGTTTGTAACTCTTAACAACAGCTCCACTTCTTGGTCTGTCCATATGAACGCCTCCTGCTTGTTGTTATTAGCATTCTTTTTAGGTTTATTTTGCTGCGAAGAACTAGCCATTATCGACAATTTCTTAAAACACACGTGTCTAGGTTTCCTTTTAAAAATTTATAATATTACGCTCGCAAAGAGTATCGGAAAAATCAGGC